TCCATGATCATAATCATCATGTCCGCTGTGTTCATCTCCATGATCATAATCACCATGTCCATAATCATTGTGTCCGCTGTGTTCATCTCCATGATCATAATCATCATGCCCGCTGTGTTCATCTCCATGATCATAATCATCATGTCCGCTGTGTTCATCTCCATGATCATAATCACCATGTCCATAATCATTGTGTCCGCTGTGTTCATCTCCATGATCATAATCATCATGCCCGCTGTGTTCATCTCCATGATCATAATCATCATGTCCGCTGTGTTCATCTCCATGATCATTATCACCATTTCCATAATCATCATGTCCGCTGTGTTCATACCCTGGTCCATAATGATCATGTCCGCTGTGTTCATCCCCATGATCATGATAACCATCCTCATGTTCAACATATCCGTAATAACCATGTTTACTATGTTTATCTTCATGTCCATAATCACCATATCCATGACCACTATGTTTATAGTTCTCGTATTTGTCATCATGACCCTGATACAGTTTTATATCACTGTGATCGTAGTCTGAATACCCGGTATGCTGTTCACTATTTTTATATTTTCCATATTCGCTTTTATCATTATCTCGATCATAATCTTCGTCTCCATAATCACCATGTCCACTGTGTTCATCACCTTGATCATAATCGTCATGACCGCTGTTCTCATAACTATGACTGCTGTGTTCATCACCTTGATCATAATCGTCATGACCGCCGTTCTCATAACTATGACTGCTGTGTTCATCACCGTACCCGAAACCACTATGGTCGCTATGATGGTACTCATCATGCCCATAATCACCATGATCATAATCACCATGTCCATCAACACCATTATCATAATCACCATGACCGCTGTGATCATAGCCATGATCATAATCACCATTACCGCTGTGTTCATCACCATGATCATAATCACCATGTCCATAATGTTCATCACCATGATCATAATCACCATGTTCATAATCCCCATATCCGCTGTCTTCATCTCCATGATAATAATCACCATGTCCGCTGTGTTCATCACCATGATCATAATCACCATGTTCATAATCACCATGTTCATAATCCCCATGTCCGCTGTCTTCATCTCCATGATCATAATCACCATGTCCACTGTGTTCATCACCATGACCATAATCACCATGTCCGCTGTGTTCATCACCATGATCATAATCACCATGTCCATAATCATCATGTCCGCTGTGTTCATCACCGTGATCATAATCACCATGTCCGCTGTGTTCATCACTGTGATCATAATCACCATGTCCATAATCACTATGTCCGCTGTGTTCATCACCATGTCCATAATCACCTTGTCCGCTGTGTTCATCACCGTGATCATAATCGCCATGTCCGCTGTGTTCATCAGCATGATCATAATCACCATGTCCGCTGTGTTCATCACCATGATCATAATCACCATGTCCGCTGTGTTCATCACTAAGACCATAATCACCATGTCCGCTGTGTTCATCTCCATGATCATAATCACCATGTCCGCTGTGTTCATCACTAAGATCATAATCACCATGTCCGCTGTGTGCATCACCGTGATCATAATCACCATGTCCATAATCACCATGTCCGCTGTGTTCATCTCCATGATCAAAATCACCATGTCTACTGTCTCCATTACTATGTCCATAATCACCATGACCACTGTGTTCATCACCATGTTCATAGTCACCATGATCATAATCACCATGTCCATATTCACTATGACCGCTGTGTTCATCAGCATGTTCGTATTTACCACTGTCATCATTGTTAAGTTTCAAGTCTCCATGATCCCAGTTGTCGTGGCTGTCGTCCTCCTCGTAGTCGTGGTGTCCGCTATAATCATCGTCATCATCATCATCATCATCATCATCATCATCATCATCTTCATGGTCATCATCTTCGTCTTTATCGTTGTGCTCATAATCATCATCTCCATGATCCCAGTCACCATGATCGTCATCTTCATCGTCTTCATAATCACCATTACCATCATCATCATCATAATCATCATGGTTTTCATCTTCATCGTTATCGCCTTCGTCCCCATTGTCATAATCGTCATGATCATCGCCGTGTTCATCGTCTCCATGGTTACCACCATGATCTCCATGGCTTTCGTGTAATTCCCAGTCATAATTGTTACCGTGTCCGCTGTGTCCAGACCCACCATGACCGCTTTCACTGTATTCATAATCATCATGTCCTGAATCATCATGTCCGCTTAAACTGTAGTCATAATCACCATGTCCGCTCAGACTATGTTCATAATCGCCGTGTCCAGAATCGCCATGTCCACTTAAACTATATTCATAATCGCCGTGTCCAGAATCACCATGTCCGCTCTCGCCATGTCCATAATCACCATGCCCACTTTCACCATGTTTGCTGTCACTATTGCTGTAATCACTGTAGTCATAATCACTATGGCCGCTGTAATCAACATGTCCAAAGTCACTTTTGCCACTGTCACCATGTCCAGAAAATCTGTGCTCGCTGTCACTTTTTCCGTAATCACTGTACTCGTAATCACTATGACCGCTGCTTTCACCGTGTCCTCCATCTTGTATCTCACCCTTTTCGTGACCTTCTTGATGACCTCCTTCATGACCTTCAGACTCAGATTCTTTTCCCACGTGACCCTCATCGCGCTCGTTTACACCGGAGTGGCCGGCATTCTCACCAGAGAACGTTTTTTTGCCCTGCGACCCTTCAGATTTTTTGCTGTACAGAGACTTAAAGTCTCCGTGGTCGTAATCGCCTTTTGCGTCGCCATCTTCCCAGCCTGAACCTCTGCTGTATTCTCCTGAACCCTGCTGCTCATAATAATAATCGCTATTTCTAGATTTGGCTCCGTCACATCCGCTTTGACCTTTCACATCTCCATTATTGTTCCCAGCGTAGCGGGAATCACCGTGAGACGACCTGTCATACCAGTAGCCTTTTCCGGAGCTGGATTCTTCATAGTCACCAGATTTACTTCCGGAATAATGATCCTCTGAATAATGTCCATAATCTCCTCCAGACTTAGAGTCATCGCTGTAATCTTGATCATCATACTTGCCACCTCCATCACCATAACCTTCCACATCGTCACCATCATCGTCCTGATTGTCGTCGTCATAGTATTTTCCACTCTCGTTTTTGTCATATTTTCCGTCGTCATTATAATCATCGTCACCATAGTGGTCTTTGTTGTAGTTTCCTTGACCTTCGTAATCTTCATCTTCGCCCCCAGAGCAGTCACTGTTTCCCGCGTAGTTGCCGGCATGTCCAACTTCGTTTCGTCGTCCTTTCGAGTATCCATTGTTGTGTCGATTATCATACTCATCTTCGTCGTATCCCTCCTCTCCGTCATCATTGCCGTCATCTCCGTCCATCATGTGATCCGAGGACCATTTACCATCTCCGCCATTATCAGAGTCGTCATAGTCGGAACTGTCTTCGTACTCGTCCCCCCCGGACCCACGGTGAGAATTGGGTTCGCTTTTGTCGCTGCCGTAGTAATCGGATTTCCCGTTACTGTATCCGCCAAACCCCATTCCATTCTCTTCATCTCCATAATCATCGGTTTTATAATCGCAGCCTGCTTTTCTGCCTGAACCAAATTTCCCATTTCTGTTTGAGCCATATCCATTACTATCCGTTGAATAATCATAATCGCCATCATTGTTCTTCGAATATTCGAAATCATCATTGCCTTCTTCAGAGCTATAATACTTTCCATTTCCCTCATAATCACCATAGTCTTCTTCTCCACCTTCTTTGTAATCACCCCCAGCTCCGTGCCTACCTAATCCCGATTTACCGAACCCACTAGGGAATTTACCAGTGGCCTCTCCTGAATATCCTTGACCTTTCCCTCTGCCAAAATGCCTTCTGCTCCCTTGCACCTGACTATTCCCAGATCTGTGGACACCACGTCCGGAGGGGTGTCCTAACTGACCAGCAGTATGTCCGAGAGGTACATGACCCCTGGGGCCTTGACTGTTGCCCTTGTTCGCGTCTTTTGGATCGACGACCACGGCATCTGTCCTCTTGATGGTTTTCTCTGTTTGGTGGATCGTCTTCAGAACGCGGGGGTCGTTAGTTTCCGATCCCAGCTGAAGGCGGGCCGGCCTTTGACCTTTTTCCTGACCTCCTGTTGGGTCAAAAAATAATACATGGGTAATAAAATGATACAAGAAGTTTGTTGTTGTAAATGAGTTTGTCCCTTTTCTGCTCTGTGGTCCTAAGGCAGAGCAATGTAATCAATTATACATTTTATGATTTTAAGAAAAGTTTAAAAACTTGTGACACTTAGCCTATTTATGGCAGGGGTCTCAAATTCAAATTACCCGGGGGCCACTGGAGGTTGCATCTGAGCAAGCATGGGCTGCACCAAGTATTCTTGTAATAAAGTTTCAAGTACTCAAAAAGTACACCTGATCTAATCCTCTCAATTTATATAAACGAAGTGACTATTCCGAGTGACACTGGGGAAAGGTACAGAAACTATTCCCAGTGACGACAGAACTCTCTTTCATACAAAAAAATTCAGAAGTCTTTGCACTGCAGACTCTCTTCTCACTTCTCACTTCTGTTCAGTTCTGTACTTTTGTTCTCTTCTCTTACTTTGGGCAATAGAGTTACCCCCTTTTAGTGCCTATAGTGTACATCTATGCTGAGGGCTTAGACTTGACCGTAGACTAGATCTAGAACTAGATCTAGATCTAGAAGAAAGAAGAATCGGGAAAGATTTCTACCTGTCCTGTACCGTGGTCTCCAAAATCCGTATGTAGATCTAGATCTACACGTACATAAATTACGACGGAATAACAAGCAAGCATAGAATGATCATTCCTTTTTCTTTAAAAAAAAATCATTCCACTCACACTAGAATCTACTTAAGTTATGTTTCTAGATCTACATTAGATATAAATAGTCTAGTGTTTTATTTAGTAACCCATCACCACCATGCCCATGTAGATTAGTGTGGGAACAATAGATCTAATGGGCCTGTTTGTTCTCAGTGTCACTGGGAATAGTTTCTGGGCCTATTCCAAGTGACACTGGGAACAATTCTGACCTAGGCCCAATTTGCCAGTGATTTCTGGGCCTGTCACTGGGAATAATTTCTAGGCCTATCCCCAGTGTCACTGGGAATAGTGCTTTCCTTATATAAATACATGCGGTTCAGAATATAAACTGTTACCAAAGTCATCATTATAAGATAACGTTTTGTTTACGTATTTTTTCGAGTTCGCTCACCTTGTCACTGAGGGTACTAATTTACCTAGTATCCAAACAATCAGAAAATCGGTTACAGAGCTGAGATAAATGAAAGGCGTGCTAATCTTGAAGATTCAGAGCGGAAGGCACAGTTCTATTTCTTAGCAAAACAGTTTGCACGGTCAAGCTTCTGTCGTAGAAGACAGTCGAAGAGCTGTGAGACATAACAGAAGAAGTTTTGATAAAGTCGACAGTTTATAGAATTATCACGGAAAGTTTTGAGAAAGCAAAGTTGTTGTGGGGGTTTTGTTTTTGGGGGAGGGGAGGGCGGGAGGGGGTTGCAAACTTTGTTCATCTTCTGCTAACTGATAAGCAAACAAAAGATCAAGTGCGCTGAATACGTGGTTTTCTCTACAGGATACGGAATAGAATGACATAATATTTTTAGAAGAATCATACCAGTTGATGAAACATGAACCAAAAACACAGTCAGCAGACTGGAAAAACCCAGGATCACCATGACCCCAGAAACCTTGACTAAAGCAAAGAGCTTTGAAAGTCATGCACATCATTTTTTTAAATTCTATCACAAAAGTGTGTTTTGAACTTACCGGTTCCCTCCGGCACAACAGTCAATGCTAACTATTACATGATGTTCTTCAAACAAAGTTAGGGTTATCAATCTGAGGAATACGGCCGAGTCTGCTTCCATCATGACAACGTGCCTGTGCTCAGTGCTCGAAAAGTCACCAGTCTCCTAGACCCCCGACAGTGGGAAACTTTTAAAAGTTCTCATTTTTCCCAAGATTAAGCATCATCGACTTTCATTTCCTCCCCAAAATCAAAGAAAGGCTAAGGGGGCAGCCATTTAAAGACGAGAATTTTTTTACTCGAAACAAATGCTGCACCAAGGACTCTGGAGGAATCGGACGAAAAAGTAAATCTACGGTTGTTATGTTGAATAGAGATATGTTTTTTTTGTTGGTATGTACAAAATTTCATGTCTGTAAATTAATAAAGAGTGTTCTTTTCTCAGAACATGAAAACTTTCTTCCTCTTGTACATAGACAGCCCTTCGCTTACCTTGTTTTCTGAGCAGAAGTCTTTCGAAAGTAGATGGCAGTCTCATTTTTGACAAAGTGGCATCTTCGGTGCCGGGCACGCTAACGTTTACAGTGCTGCTGTTGCTGTCGGTGCTGTTGTTGTTGGCGCCTGTGACAGTGTCGTTGCTTGTGTCCACTGTCACTGGCCTCTCAGCGGTCACATGTCCGTCACGTCTGCGCCAAAACCTGGGTCTCCGACCGCGTCCAGCCAAAGATAAACGACGTCTGTAAAACCGGAAGCGAGGTCTCAGGTGTGGCCGGCCGTTTATACGTCTGCCCCAGGCTGGAACCCCGACCCATCGGCCTTCGTTTGGAGAAGTTGTGACGTCAATTTCGCTATCAGTTTGGTTGTTGTTCTTCTCCCCATGTTTGGAAGCTGTGTTTTCAACGGGAATATCTGTATCATGAATGTCCACTGGTTTCCTACTCGCCGGATTTTTTGCAACGCCGTTCTGTGAAGGAACTCCCTCTTGGCCAAGCTCTACTTTTGCAAACTGCATCTTGCCAAATCTGGATGAACCTTTGCGGTAACTGTCATGATTGTCCGATTTATCATGCCCTTCTTTGTAGAAAGAAGCATCTCTAAGTAGTTTCAGATCGCTCATCACCTTGCCTGGTCTGGCAATTTCCTGGTGAAGGACCACGGTGTCTTTAGGAGCATAGGTAGGTGTTGTAACAGGATTCGTGGATTTGGAGAATTTCTTTTGGTTCTGCGAGTTGCTATTGCTGGTTTGTTCCTCGCCCGCCCTACCTACTGGGGCCTTATTATGTGCGTTTAGCTGTTGAATTGTTGTGCTGTTGTTTGTGTGACTTGCTACATCGTCGACTGCGTTAGGAGTAACAGCTGCTTGGGAAATTACAACAGAGTCTGGCTGGGAAATATTCTGGGCTGTATTTGTTCCATTCCCGCCCGAAAGAAGAGATGAAATGGGGGTTAGACTTTTCTCCACATCTTTGTTCTTTCCCTCAGAACTGGCTGTTGGCTGAGTAGGCAAACTTCTCCTGCTTCTGTGAATGGAAGAGCTGCTTTCTCCAGAAGCCAGCTGGTTTTCCCCTCCATGCAAAAAATACCTCATCTTCCTGCCGAGCAGCCCTTTAAGATTTCCAGCGTTTAGTTTACTTCCCATTCTATCCCACCAGGATGGAATCTCAGAGGGGCTTTCTGCATTTCCCGCACTCTCATCTTCATGTCCTACCATCTCTCTGTGGGCGTGGACGTTATGGGCGGACTTTTCTTGGACGTCCAGCCAGCGACTGCGTCCGGGCAGATCGGAGGATTCTGGGCCTTTGTCGTTGGAGAACAGAGGGCTGAATGCTTCTACCCACTTCCAGAACTTGGGGTTTTCTGGCAAATCGGAGTCGGACTCTGTCGTTGGTTTGTGAGGGACGTAGTATGACGGGTCTGGGGAATCGTCCTTTTTGTCCAGAGAGCTGTGAAACAACAGAGGAATGTTTTCGATAAACCACCAGTACGGTTCGTCCTTTGCCGGTTTTTCCGGCATCCCATCATTATGAGCAGTTGTATCTTTCATCATTGTCGTGGTCTTAGGTTTAAAAGTAGATGTTGTCGTTGTTGCCGTTATCTCTATTGTGGAAACAGATGTAGCTGCGGTTGTGGCTTTAGTGGCAGCCTCTTCATCGTCTTCATCGTTGTCTTCTTTACGGTTACGATGCCCTCTTCCTTTTCCTTTACCCCTTCCTCTGTTTTTGTTCTTTCTCCCTGGTCTCCTGTTTCTGTGACGGGGTCTCTGTCTTCTGCGTCCGCTGCCCTTTCCTTCTGGTGTGTCTTCCTCTTCCGGTATAGACGAGCCGTCACGTGGTTCGATGACGATATCTGAGCACGCGTAAAACTGTTCCTGCTCGCCACAGCCGATACATGAAGTACCATCATGGTCAGTTCCCCAACTGTTGCCTATAGATGAGATAAGATAAGATAAGATTAGATAAGATTAGATAAGGTAAGATAAGATTAGATAAGGTAAGATAAGATTGATCTTTATTCTCCAGACACTGGTACATGAAATGAAGATTAAAAAAAAGAATCGCAATGAAAGAAAAGTGTTGTGGCTTTTAACATTTCTTTCCTTGTTCTTTTTTCTATTTTCGATTTTTTTTTCTTTATAATTTGGAAAGGGGATGGTTGTTTGCTTGTGTTTTTGTTTGTTACTGTGTTTTGTTATTTCAAAAAACAAAAAAACCGACAGTGATTACGCACCAACATTCCACTTCCATTGGAAGAGACACTTCTTGCAGGAAACACCACGAGGCAGCCGCACGTTCACTGTGTACTCACGGGAGGCGTAGGGCTCGGGAAGCTCAAATCTGCAATAAAAAAAATGTTTCTCTGATTTGCCATTCATTTTATAAAGTTTTTGTTGCTTTTGACATCCCTCGTTCCTTTTCGGGTGTAGTTTTAGCGATCTTGTTCGTATTAACCAAAGGCATTTTCTGTGAAACCGAAACTGAGCAAAGGTCATGATAATACTATAACTGCAGAATGGGAAGGCGTATGTGGCTATAAATCATTTGATATTACTGTTCAGATGTTTGTATTTAGGTGGGGGGGGGGGGGGTTAAAACTTTTCTCATATTTATCATAGCGTATCTTATTTATCACATTAACCCCCCCCCCCAACCCCCGCGGCTCCTATTCAGCCTGTTCATTAACTTTTATAAATCATTTATATGTGTATACGTATATACCTACAAACAGGGGAGGGGAGTGGGGGTGGTAGGCTGAGTCGTGATGTAGAAGTGGTGTACGCGATGATGAAAGGTGAGCTGGTGGATGCAATATTGTGATGGGGATGAAAACGAAGAAATAAAAAAATTGCTCTTTTGGGAAATGTAAACTTCAGTCCCTTATTTGGAATATCCTTGACCTGCTACGCATACTTGGGTCTTCCTTCTAGTGAAGCCGCTTTTGAGTTATCCTGACGTTATGCACTAATAAATCTTTTAACTTTTATAAGAAATAATCTACTTTTAACTTTCCAACATCTATGAAGGCTCATTCCTCTCCCTTCCCCAACCCCCACGCCCCTTTCACACCCCCTTTCCACCTCCAAAAATAAAAGTAAACAAGAACAATAAGGAAGAAAAACAAAAGCAAAGCCAAAAAAAATCCCACTGGTGATTAGAGCCACGCCTGGCTGACAGCATGGCTGACTGAAGACCACAAGACGACAAAGTGGCTCACAGATCTCCCCCATGAGTCGTATTGCCGATATTTGTAGTTTCAGTAAGTGTTTGCGACACCTGCAACACAGTGCTCAAGATTACATTAGGCCTACTTGATAGTAATGTACGAAGAAAATATGGAGGAGAAATAACGACGATAAATGTGTGAATAGAAAGAAAGAGCAAAGCCAACCAGAGCACTCGCCAACCACACACGTATATTTTCTGACCTGGTACTTCCGTCTTCCAGTCGGAGCAGATGTCTATCCAAGCACTCCTGAGTCACTTCCACGAAGTCTCCATCGGAATCGAACTCCAGGTCACCAGAACGAGGCTTGTCGTAGATGCAGAGTCGGAACTCAACCCAGCCTCTGTAAAGACGAGTCGGTAATAATAATCTGGCTTATTCAACACAAATCTTCATGAACATTTCCGAAGAGAATATTTGCTTTCTAATGTAGATGATTTAATTAAGCTCACACAATGTAGGTCATAAGTCGGGTTTTGACCCAGTCTGTCAGGGCCAGCACGGACTGAAAGGGCTATAACGTCCCAGCTGTAAGATCAAGATACCTTGATAATAAAAATCCCCACACGGAAATCGACCTTAGGCATTGAACTTAAGTTTCCTGAGGGTTACTGCCAAGTACCTAATCGTTACACCAAGACATCTATTGAGTAGAAGACAGAAGGAAGAAAGAAACACAGACCGCATAAGATATAAGTGTACTCTGAACCAGTATAAGAAATCAATGGGAAAACAAAAAGCCTATGAGTGCGGAGTTGCGATTTGTACTTAAAGCTATAGTGCGGCCAAATGAAAAAAAAAGTGTTAACGGTTGAACCAGTCGGCGATGACCACCTAATGTAAAGGTAAAACAGTGGTTGTCTTAGACAGTAGTCTTCTTAAACAGTGCCATTATTCTAGTGTAAAAAAACGTAAAGGGGAGGAGTTGGAGGTAGACGTTTGTGCAGGTAATTGTCTTGGACAGATGATTTGTTAGAACATAATTATTTATCTGCACTCGTTAATTCCACATGTGTATTTAAATATGTACTCGCGAGATCCTGCTACATGCCTATGTATTTGAATTTATCAACACCTGGAGCATACAACTTAAAACAGCCGGCATCTCATCTGGGTTTACTTGGCAATGTAAATTATACATCAGACATAAAATTGATTTTCATTGCATAAATACACAATTCAATTCATTGATTTTTAAGAAGCTTCCAAGTTTTGCTTTCAGCTCAATTTGGGTTGAAATCTTTAAAAAAAAAACTTTAAATTTTGTAACATGTGACTTAATGTACTTTACATTCAAAAATGTGTTATGTGTTCGAACTTTTGTTAAAATTGATCAATAGATGGTATTGCCCTTTAAATGGGTCCTCGTGTTTTTAGATACCCAGTTGGCTATAATATGCAGAAAGGGGCGAATAAGAAAAAAAACGGATGGCCATCTATCTATCTATCTATCTATCTATCTATCTATCTATCCATCTATCTATCTATCTATCTGTCTATCTATCTATCTATCTATCTATCTATCTATCTATCTATCTATCTATCTATCTATCTATCTATCTATCTATCTCTCTATATATATATAATATATATATATATATATATATATATATATATGTCTATCTATTTATCTATCTATCTATCTATCCATCTATCTATCTGTCTATCTGTCTATATGTCTATATATCTATCTATCCGCACCTGTGATTGGCTGTGATCCCCATGGTGACCTTGATGAGCTCTCCCTGCTGGTACACACGAGTGGGCGTGCCATCATAGTACTGTCCACCTCGCTCGTGTGGGCGGGGCAAAGGGAAGTAAGGATCTCCACACACCCCGCACTTCCCATCAAATCTTTTCCAAAGTGCCTGAGATGAGGAAAGCAATTAGATATTATCGAGGTTAAAGCACCTGCATCACTTTACAAAATACTATAGTTGTTACCTCCGAAATACAAAGCTGTATCTGATATTTTTTGCCGTTTTCAGTTACATACACTACGAGGTCGGAACCAAATGTTCTATCTGATCTATCGAAATCATAAGATATTCAAAGAATTGCATTTTTTTAAAGCTTGACATGCAGTCAAAATCAAACGTTTTTAACATCTCAAAACTAGGTATTGAGCAGATAGAACTGTGTAATTCTGAGGAGACGAAGTGCCGATGATCTAAGTTACAAACTTAACATCAGCCTATCATTATCAATTGCGGTACAGGCTTTTTATTTTTAGTACAACTGTCTTCATTTTTATACTTGCAAGGTTGGTCGAATGATATGAAAGTGGCTGCATTGTTGGAAGAACTCCATGGCTGACACCCTGATATGATTCCCTCTTTTATAAAACCACTTCTCGGGTGGGAGCGGGGGAATGGGAGATTAGACGCATAAAGCTAGACATAGAGGAGGATGGGGAGAGAGTGAGAAAGGCAGGAAGAGAGGGGGAAGGGAAAAGCGTTTAGAGTGGCAAAGAAGAACAATAATGGTGAGAGAGAAAGAAAAATAGAAACAAAGAAACAGTCAGAGAGAGAGAGAGAGAGAGAGA